ACAATTCGTTATTAAAAGATTCTTATAGCTTATAAATAAGCTTATAAATAAAAAAAAAAGAGCTCTTAGCTCTTATAAATTAACGTGAAATGTGACATTCATGATTACACTTCAATAAAACTATACAATGGGTTAAAGTGACCTGACAATTGATAGTATTAGTTTCAATAATTTCAAAAAATTACAGTATATAATTTCATCCTTTAAGAAAATGGAACACTGGCATTTTAGTAAAAAATTTAACGCTAAAAAAATCTTAAACATATTAAATTCGGAAAAATGTGCTTTTTTACTTAAAAAATTATAATTTTTTTAATTTATAATATTTTCAAATGCAATTTTAGCCTAGTACTCTTGAGATGATGTACTTAAAAAAAATAGTATGGTTACATGTGTTTCAAAAAAGATATTTATTTTGAAGGTAAAAGTTGGTCACATTTTTTACGCACAGAAAAATATCATTCTATCATTTTTTTGCCAAGAAAAACAATTATTCATTTTATTTTTCTTCTTTTAAGTAAGTTGATTTCAATAAACAATATTTTCTCGCTAGTAGTCTTAAAATGTATTCATCCCAAGTTTTAGAAATACTCAATATCATATACTCAAAATAAGAATTTATTCTCTTTAGAGAAGTATATTATAAAATTTTATCGAAGAAAAGTCAGATTTTGACTTGAATATTTAATAATATATCGATGTAAGAAAATTTATTTGGTCAGAAAAATTTGATATATTTCTTTCAATTCTATACAAGTGATACTACAACAGATTTAAGAAAAGCGAAACTAGTTTAGAAACAAAAAATTTTTTTCTTGTTTGAAGTAATTCATATTTTTCAATTTAAATAAATATTTATTTTGGGATCAAATTGTGCATGCAATATGATGCAACATGACTTTTATATTATTCCATAATGGTATTTTTTCATATAATATTTATCTTAATTATTTTGAATTAATAAATACCAGCATATTATTTCGTTTCTATGTAACCTCAAATATCCATCAAACAATAATATGAAACTGTCATTATGAGATTAAGAATGGTTACAATAGGAAATATATCGTTGGCAATGACTCGATCGCTACAAGCGTGGCGTAAATGTATTAGGCTTAGCCATTCTCGTAGGGATCGTAGATTCAAATCTTGCCGGCGATGCGATGCGTTTTTCAATAATTTTGTAGTTAATAAGGCAGAATATGAATATGCGAAACAGTAAAAATATAAATTAAACTAGAAAAATAAAAAGCAATAATAATAAAAAAATTATTTTTTTCGTTAAGATATAATTGTAATTTTCTTATTACAAGTAAATATGATATTTGATTCAAGTAAAGGAAGAAATCTTCTTCCTTTACTTCGAAGTAAATCGAATTTTTGATTTAATTGGATATTCTTGATTGAGAAATATTAAATTTTCTAGAATTCAGAATATATTTTGAATAAATCGGATGCTTGTGATGAACTTATAATAGATTTGCGGATATATGAACTTTTGAAATATTTGGAGGAAGTCATTATCATTTGCGTTACAGTATATATTTTTCTGCGTATAGATGTAAAAAAGATGTTAAATTTGGTTATTTATTATTGATTTAAAAAGTTATTTATTATTGATTTAAGTTATTATTAATATCAAAATTATTATTATTATTTTGAAGGAAAATAATATAAAAAATACATAGAAAACATTACTCTTCGTTACTATAATCTCAGTACACATAGAGTAGCTCTCTAAATCTGAATCAATCGATAATCACTGACTTAATGTCAAATATGCCACTGTTAATTAATGAATGAAATGTATTATCGTTAACCTATAGCGAATCTTGATTCAATGTATAAGTATGGCACATTCAACGTATACGATATTGTAAGATTAGAATTACAATGTGCTAGAATCTGTAAATATCGATATTTTAACTATACAATGTTTAAACTTCTTTTTTTTATATAGTTGAATTTCACTGATTATCCAATGCCAAATGTGCTAGATATGATATGCTGATAATTCAGTACCAAGTATGCCATTTCAGTAGATTATCAACTGATTTAGATTTAGAATGTGTTTATCACACATAGATACGATGGATGTTCTTTCCTCATCGTTTTTTTATCCTTATTTGAAGGACATCCACAGCTTTCTTATTTTTACAATTTAAAAATATAAATCATAAATTTTTTAACGAAAAAAAACGAGCGTTGATCACACTTATAGACACTTTGACCCGAGAAAAAAAGGCGAATGGTTGCTAGACGCATACTAACAGTCCGATTAAAAAGTTAAGTATCTCTATCAATACTTGAAGCTTCAACCTCTAATCGATAGTAGAAATGCGTTCTTCTGACGCCAAGAAGGTTTTGAAATCTAGTATGAAAGATGCTCTTGTCATTTTAACCTAGAAAGACCTATGAAAGGTTAAAATAGCCGAATTCTCAAATATTTTAAGATTATATTTTTTTTCACTTATAAATGTGTATCTATTATAGTTACATCGGTGTTTGCAGGAAGAGTTCAAATTAAATTTTTTTATCTATATTCTATGCTATATTACTAATCTATTAAATTTCATCATTTTCACAAAGATTGTTTTTAGTATCTGTCTTGACGAAGTTTTTTCTTAATTAAAATTTCTTTATAACAAAATATAAGTGTTGTGAACATTATTTAGTACAACGTCATGATTTTGAAATTTATTGTTAATCAATGTCTGTTTTAGGTAGAGTAAATTTTAGATTACATCTTTTTGATAGATTTATAAAATTAGGAACGCGAATTTCAAAACATGTCTAGGATTTTCTAATCAAATGATTCGTGGATTTTTTAAGCTTAACTCTTATAAAGTGGTTTTAAGCAACGCAAAACCCAGCTATCGCATCAATCGGTTATTGTGATGATCCTTGAAGATATTTAAGTAATACGTCCGTGGGAAAGCCACAGTCCTTTTTATTTAATTCGCGCCTTCGTCGACGAGCGACAGATGTTCCGGGTTGGGCACAAAGAGCGTTGCAAGAGATTAATGGTAATTACGCGATTTCGAGGAGCCGCGAATCGCAAGGAGTGGAGAAACTGGAAGGCGGTCGAAGAGCAAAGACGTGGCCGGCAGGCTCTGAATCTCTCTCTCTCTCTCTCTCTCTCTCTCTCTCTCTCTCTCTCTCTCTCTCTCTTGGCTTTGTTTCCGAACCATACCGGAAGCAGACGCTTTCGTGTGGTGACAATAGGGAGACTACCTCGCCTTACTTCCCACAATCCGTCGTTTCCTTCTTTCGACACAAGCGTTCCGGTAGTGCTTATTAATGAAAACCCTCCCACTACATGGCACCGCTTTCCTTTCTTTTCCTTCGTATATCCATAAACGGGATGACGATGTCCCATCGTTGACCGCTCCGAGAGCTCCCATCTTGCCAGGTGGACAACAAGAGCAATTAAGGGTGACAATTGTTGTGCGTGAGAGTCTATTGTTAAGATCGGTACATTAATGTGACCATCTTGCTTTAATTACAGTTAAATACTAGGGTTGTGAATATATTGCTCTATTCTTCTTTATCCTTTAATTTTTAACGTTTTGTACAAACTGTTGACCGGAATAGCTTTCTCATCATGAAAGATAAAAAACAGATGACGTCGTTGCGTTTAAAATCTTGATTGTATGACATAAATATAAATTTTATTGTATGTAAATATACAGTAGTACATTTACGTATTAAAATAGTTATACTCCAAGCTAATCTTGAGCAGTATTTAATTGAAGATGATCCTTTTCCTTTGCATCTTTCAAATATACAATAGATTTTTAAATATACACTTTAAACGTTGCGTTGTGCTAATCTTTTAAGAGAGTAAGAACAATATTGTAATAACAATAACAGTTATGTTAGGACTTTCGAATTTTAAACAATACAAAAAGATAAATATAGCAAGGTAATGAGAATCAGCAACGATAAACGACGTAATTATTTAATGAACAATCAATAATCAGATATTGGATATTCTTTATTTAGAATATTTCGACTCTCTTTGGAGTCCTCCTCAGCAAGAATGAACAATATTGTAGTAACGATCACAAATTCAGCCACGCAATCTACTGATTTTTATCTACCTTCTACTATTTTTGGTTCTATCTTCGGATTCTGTTGAACGATGATGAGAATTAAGATTCGCGGCGAAGATATCATCGCAAAGAAGTCGAACGTCGCGCGCGAAGACAAGTCGCTCTTCCCTATATAATATATTGATCGCGGCGCGACGTGAATCATGCGTGCGCGCAATAATATTCCGCGGTTGGCATATTCATACCCTGTATAAATTGTCAGCCTGGACACGCATCGAACCGCACCGTCGGGGCATTGTGACGACTGGCGCCGTGTGACAATGAACTAGAAGAGTGAGAGAGAAAGAGAGAAAAAGAAAGAAGTACGCGCGCGACGCTTCGTGAACACAGGTGTGCCTGGCGTCCCGGCGCCTAGGAGCGGTGCGTCTTCCATCTCCCTACTTGTCTGCCTTATTCCTTTTCTTATGACTGCGGTTGAAAATCAAGAGACTTTATAGCGTTAGCAAGTCGCACTTAAAAAGTGCATACAATACACGTTTATGAAGGTAATAATAATTGGCATGAGTTTTTGAAGAGATATAAGTTTTAGTGTTTCATCAAGATCGAGAAATTCAAGAAATCATGTCTTAGTTTTGTCTTGAATCAAGACAAGATCAAAACAAGAAATTGGAAATTGATTTTAAAACAAGACAAGAAATTATTATCAAGATTTCTTGACAATAAGTCAAGAAATTTCTTGAACTTTCTTGAATTTCTGTGACAATTTTTATTTTTAATATTTTATTATTTTAATATTTTATTATTTTATTTCTGATTTGAAAAGTTTTGAATAAGTTAGGTTTTAACATTTTCAATTATATTTATTGGTATTTATAACAGGTTATAACATAGAAATATACATTTATACATTTTCATTAAATAGCAAAATATGAACAGAATGTAAATCGATTATTGAAAAAGTGAAATCCCTGATCTAACTAAATTAAATTATATTCATCGATACATCCTTGTTATACTAGATTTATTGATATTAACCTTTATATTTATGTAAAGGAATATATATATAATTAATATTACGAGATTACTTGCAAAAGTATGTATAAACATTTGCGTATTCTACTAATACAATAGTTCAATTAAATCAGGAATGATTAAAATATAGTAATAATAATAATTATTATTATATCTGATAATTTTATGAATCCAATAATCTGAAATAGAGCTACATTTTGCGGTAACCTTATGATATTAAAAATGATAATTTGAGAAATATTTTTAATCTTTATTAATAGATTTGTGCATAATAGACATTATAGGCACACTTTTAAACCATGAATTTAAACATAGTAATAGTACGAGACGACTCGCCATTCAATTTGTACCTATGTTTTCTTATTATCTCTTACGACGTGATGTTAAAGAGTCACAAGAACTTTGCTTAAAAAATCAAGAAATTCTAAGAAATTCAAGATTCTTGAATTTAAGACAAGAAAAACGATATTTCTTATTTTGAAAATCAAAATAAGACAAGAAATGCTCTTTAAGACAAAAAATCTTGTCTTGATGAAACACTAATAAGTTTTGGGAACGAACATTTAAGGAAGTAAGGGAAGCTGCGTCGAACTAACTAAAGTATTATTGTTACCATGTTATAATGCAGATATCTTCAGATATGTTCAATAGATAAATAGATAAATTGCAGTAAATTCAAGAAGTTATCATACATAATCGCGAAGTGATCTCAGTAATAAATTCTGAATAAATATTGATATGTGATATAATATATAC